TTAGCAAATTTCATTTGATGTTTTATGTTTACGTCTGATTAATAAATGTGCTGTGATTTTTTATTCAGTTTGCGTGATTTTAATTTTGTCACTACACTATATTTTAGTAAGCCACTCACGTCATTTTAACCTCAATTTTGATTTCGTTTTTCAGTATTATTACAATATAAGAGGGTAATAATTACCAGCAACGGATTAAATGTTAACTGATGTTGTTACTCATAATAATTCAAAGAATTCAAACGTTTGTTATTAAAATGATAAGAAAAAAATTAATTATAAATACTTTGAATTCGTTGGATAATAAAAGAACAATTATCATTGTGTGTAACAGTTTCAATGTTTTAATATGTAATTAAAAATGGCGAAAGGGATTTTTAGTGCAACTCGTAGATTAAGAATTACGCTCTAACGCTTTTGTAGGTCAGAAAATTAACAATAATGAAAGTATGCCGCTATCTATATTCATATAATTTCGGGTTTTCTCGTTGTAACGATGGCACTATATTCTTCACTTTATATTTTAACTAACAATTCAAAATTATTTATTATTACAGTGTAAATATAATTAATTTTTTATTTATTTTAATATCGTCTAATTAATTAATGATTAAAAATGAATGTCTTAATCAATTTTTAATGACACGAATGAAAACAAATCAACTAACTTAAAAAGAGTCAGCACAAACAGTATTAATAATGCTAAAGTGAATGCAGGATTTATTTTCTAGTTGGCATGAAGTCCGACATTATTCAATTTGCATTTCATATAACTTAAGCTCATAAATTTTCCTAAAATCCAAGCTTACCGCCAAGGTAATATAATATATAATATACTTTAAAAAAGGTTATATTTTTTAAAGCCTTCTTAGAAATTCTTCAAGAAAACGAGTTCAAATTAATGTGGTTAAGACACTTACAAAATCTAATTTTAGTCGTACTCATATAATTATTTATGTTTAATTAAATTGTTGTACCACTTTCAATTAATAGTATACAAATAATCATACTATGTGATATTAATAAACAAAAAATCGGCGATTAATGTATCACCGATTTTTCTTTTACTGGTTATTCTTTTATAATACACAAGGTGTTCGCTAGGATTTAATATGTATAGAAACTTTTGTTCCAGAAAATAATTTGCGTTAAATATTTGCTAAATTATGTAATAAAGAAACGATGCTACAAGGATAATACAATGATGTATAACTAGAAAAATTAATTTTTTTCCACCTTAAAGAATATTTATAAATGTTAATATTTTTTTTACATTTTTGTGGGTGGTAATTTAGAGCTAGGAGCATCTACAGCATCCCATAACACATCTGTAGTTGCGCCGCTGCAAAATAAACTAGCCTAAATGATAAGTAGCGTATGCGTATTCGGTTTTGTCATATACTTAAATTTTCTGTATAATTGAATTTGAACTGAGTTTTGTGTAAGTAATATAATATTAATTTAATTAATTCTCAAAATATTGGAAATTTAATTAAGTGGTGTAGTTTAATTTATATAAATTCATTAACATTATAGGAACTTAATAATAAATGAATAATAATTTCTGTAAACAATATATTAACATCTTTTACATAAATTTTTTTTGGTTGATTTTTTTATTTATATTATGTAGAAAGTAGAGACATTTTGACAGACATGAAATAAATAATTTGTAGACTTTTTAGGTAATTTCTAACAGCCCGCCCTCCCACCTGTTTCAGCATTCGTATGCGACCGGTTTTGTCATTACCTTCTACGTAACCATCGTCCCTTCTGCGACGAACATCCCCATCAATACATTTCCGTTTAGTTTTTTTACTATGTGAGTCTTTTTTTTTATCATATCTTCAATAACCAGTCGAATAATTAATATACCGTTCTACATATTTTCTTATAACTGCCATTTTTCAGAGTAATTTCAAATGGGAAATTCCCATAGTTAGAATTTGTGCTATGATTTTTGTTGACCAACCAGGACATTAAGTTTTATAAGAATTCATAAATTTATGTAACCTCACCAAATATATAAGTTTATTTTTATTTCATAAAATACACGCCGCCATATTTACACTAAGTCAGTCTAATGATTAAGAACATACATCCACACTAATCAATAAATCATCTCAGCCTTTCTCATTTAATCATATTCAATTCACCACCGATATGTCAGATAAGATTAATTATAAAATTACATTCGTTTTATTGATTTAACTATTGATATTTAATATTTTAAATTAAACTCTACCTCATCTATTTAAGATTTACATTCATAGAACATTACAATGTACTCTTTATTACATTTATTCTCCTTAAATAGGTTTTTCTAATTTTCACTCCCATTTTTTCTCTCTTTTATGAAATATATAAGCAATAGCATTAATTTAGTCGTACATTCTTTTTAATTATAAAAACATTGCAAAGTATTGTACCTTACGATACTTATAAGGATTTCAAAAGTGTATTATTTCATTTTAACATAAAATTGACTCATTCTCAACCAATTCTTTACCTGCGATTAGTTAGATCTCTTGACATCTATGAATTTATAACACTTATTCTATAAATAAATCTAAAATGTAAGAATATCCCTGAACGAAAGAGCCTACGCTCTTTCTTTTGGCTAGTCGAATCACGTATAAACGGCAGAATTTTATTATGATAAGCCGATTTTATCTTTCCGATTCTTATCCGTATGTGTTTATACGTTATATATACATAAATATGTGTATTACGTATAAATTCTAAATTGGTTTTTTTCTCCATCATCATTATCACCTTTTTCAACTTTTTCTCAAAATAGCATACTCTTGTTTTATTTTACCTATTTCTCTACTATAGTAACTACACCGGAGTACCCTTAACACTTTATTAGTACATCAAGTTTTATAACTACAACAAACTTTATATTTCATAAAACTAATTATAATTTATTATTATTGAATTCATATCCTCCATAAAGATAGTACTCGATGATAAAATACCTGTGACAATTTTTTATAGTGAAGTTCAGATATAATATTTAAGCTCCAGAAATAATAAATACTTTAACTCCCGCACCCTTATTATTTAATTTTTAAATCTGTTTTTAAAATACATTAAAAATGATTAAATTCAAGACCTAAATGTAAAGGTTATAATCGTAGGTAACATATATACTATTGACTGTTGTTGTTTGACCTTATTGGTCTTTTTGGTGTCCGTCATTTGGGTGAGGTTGTTTAACAATAGCAACCAAAGGTCTAGGTGTCGGCTAAAGAAGCAAATCATCAGTCAAATGCGACGTTTTAATATCGTGCGGAAATCCATTAATATTAACTATGGATGAAGGGTTCAGTCTGACAAGTGAATAAGAAACGAAAAATATTATCACAAGTATCAAGGGAAAATATGATGATTCTTGGAATTGATTAAAATAAAATAAAATAATTAGTGACGCTTGATTGACGTTTACAGTTGAATTAATAATAATGGCATGACACCTTATGAAAACTACCTTTACGTTTTATGGACTTGGACATTTTTACCTCCTTCAATCATCGAATAAAACACGAATACATTTTAAAACATCTTAAGCAAACAAACATTTTATATGGTAAAAAGTTATTGTGTTTGTGTAGCACACCATAGAATATTAATTGGTTTTTCATTAATTTAAGGAATTACTATACTATTATTGTATTTTGTAACAAATTACAAGGTCCTGGCCAAGAAATTTGAAATTCATGTATTTATTATTAACTGCTTTGTAAAAAAAAAAAATTATATTTACAGAAATCTCGTCAGTTTTCCATATCAAAACTTAAATTTTAAATGATTTCTTACAAAAAAAAAATTTCAAATGTATATTTTTAAAGAATTATAATTTACGACCTGTAGAGCATAATTATCATGTGATGAAAATTATTTATAATATAAAGTGATCATTTATCATAAATCACTCGATTACTCACAAAATAAGTATAACATTTAAATAAAATTGTTTTTTTTTTTTAATTTCATAATTATTGATTTATCAATTATTAATTACTGTTTAGGACCATCCCTTATAACTTATAGGGGTGTGAACTTTCTTTTTATGAAAACATACATATTTAACTAACTTATAAAATTGAAAATGAACAAATTAAGATAATGACTGACCAATAACAACTTTTGGACCAGTATAAGATAAGGTTAACATTGTTAGACGGGAGGATGAATATCTAGTGATAAAAATAGCAGCACCCGCATCTCAATCATTACTTGAAATATTAATAACCTTCTGAAATACCGGTCCTAATTAAAGTTGTTTTTGACCAGTCATTTTCTTATTTAAATTATTTTCTATTTTATAAATTAGTTAAATAAATAGTGTTCAGTAAGCAAGGAAACGGGTTTCTATAATTCTCATCGTTTATAACAATTGACCTGTTTCCTTGCTTACAAAACACCTTGTATATATTGCCTTTTGAAAAAATTAAGTTGATAGCACTTTATGTTTTAAGGGATGATTCTAAAAAGTAATTATTAGCTGGATAAGCCAAGAAATATGTGCGACTAAAATAAATCAATTTTCTTTCGAATGATTGAGTGGTTTATAATAATAAACCGATCATTCTGTATATTATAGGTTAACTAAAAAATAAAATATAATTATCTGAATCTTCGATAAACCTCTTTTTGGGGGTAAGGGGGGCGTAATTCTAGTATTTTTGGGGGCTAAATGAACGTAAGTCATTTTGTTGGACATAAAATACTATTAACAGAAACAATTTGTTTTGAAGATCTTCAAAATAATTAATTTTAAAGTTTTTAAGTTTTACTTGAGTGCAACTAAATAATTACTGTAGTTTTTATTTCTTCAAAAACTTATCTGTCATAATATTGCTACAAATCAGGTTGAGTAACTTTGCTTAAAATATTACTCATGTAATGAACTTTTATAATTATTATGGATTTCGGTCGGGATTTTCGTGATTATTAGAATACATTACTTACTAAAAACAAATGTTGAAACTTACCGATTACAGACAAATTGTAGCGAAAACTTCTCGTTGCAGAGTTTCTAAAGTCAACCCGACATCTGTAAATTCCTTCATCATGTCGACTCACTTCATCTACATTCAAACATGCAGGTTCAGTGACGGTTCGAAAGGTAGCACGGCTGCCAAACACTTCTGGTGCTGAATAATGACGAGCCTTATTTAATGGCATTCCTCGGACATCAAAGCTGTGAAAATAAAAAACAGTACTAGTCAGTTAAATGTATTTACTTAAGACGGTGATGTTTAATTTTATTATTTATTTCAGGCATATAAAAATATATTAAATTTATTTAATATATTTTAAACTTATTAAAATTAAAGTTAAAGTAATAATAATAAAGTTTTATTAAAAATAGTACTCATTAAAAAAATTGTTTTTTTTTATAAGTTTATGGCGCACGGTTCATCAATTGGATAATATACTATCATTATAATAAAATCTAACCCATTGGTTGGGCTATTATCTGAAATTTAATTGAACTCTTTAGTCATCATACTTTTCGAGAGTAAATGTTTTTTAGGATAAGAAAAGATTATGAGGCTTGGTGGTATGGTCGTAAATTTTCCAGACCAATTAACAGATAAAACTGCTAGAGTTGGGTTTGCATGTTAATACAGTTGCCGGGCGTTAATAATTAGTTGTAGGTCTTCGCGAGAGGAAGGACAGATATGTACTGAGCATAGGGTCGAGCAACGGTTTTTTCCACTCGTTGCATTTACTACCGCTTTTCGGTACCGAGTATTGGTTTTTAATTTGCCCCTAAAAGCCAAAGGACGCTAGAAAAATATAAAACGCAGTAAAATGATTACTCAGGCAAAGGTTACCAACGTTTAGACACAACTAACTCTAATATAAGTGATTATTAGATGTATCAATTTATATATAGATTTGAATACTATAACAATAAATAATTAGAAAATATTAATAAATCTAAAATTTTAAATTATAAACCAAATTTCTAAGTATTAATATTTAATTGAAGTAGTTATATCATTTTTAAACTAGCAGCTGAACAAAGCGACGACTGAGTAGTACCATACCACGCCCCTTTTTCCTCTATCATAAATATTATCTCTTAATTATTTTATTCAGGATAAACTAATATTTACAAAAACATCAATTAGTATCAAGTAAAAATAAAACCATTGGTTTTTAGTAGAAACTTCGGCGTAACATAAATGTTTAATTTTTTTAATTGTTTTACTATTTATCATAATTAGATAAAAAAAAAAACATTGTATTAGAAGACACATTTATACATTTTTTTAGCTGCTATAATACTACATATAATAATTATAGGTANATTGTATTAGAAGACACATTTATATATTTTTTTAGCTGCTATAATACTACATATAATAATTATAGGTACTAATTAAAAAATAAAATTCAAAATACCGACGGTGTTTTTTCGTCTTAACTAATGAACCATAATTAAATGAAAAGACAATGTTTGAAGTTTTTATGAACTCAGTCTGTGCATTAAATTGTGTATTTTTATAAAAAAACAAAACAAAAAAATAAACGTACAAAATAACGCATAGCAATATTAATTTTACATTAAAGCAGAACAAATTTTGCTTTGTCGTTCATAATCCTATTATATTAAATACAATTCTTTTATATTTATGCTGAAAAATATGAAGAAATAAGGGTCAAATGCAGTTTTTAGCTATTTCACATTAAATTGTTACTACCCTAATTTGAATTGTATGACCTTTTTTACGTTATAGTTGTTAAATCTTGACCCTAGACTATTTTTATTACGCGTGAAATGTTGTCCTTGTTTTATAAAATAATAAAGTAACTTGATACGACATAATATTCATCAACATAACATATACTTAGATAAACTTGTACTCTTCTATTTTTTTATTATACTTAGCACTGAGGCATATATCAATGTCATACATTCAATTTGTCAAGCTTGAAACAATCTGTTAACTTTGATAAATTAACAGTAGTGGTGCATTAATGTTCATGTTTCATTAACCATTATGTCATTAAATAGTACTTATAATATATAATTGTATAAGGTTTAAACAAACATTTTAAAGCCTTTTAGTGATTTTTTTTAATAAATTGTAAAATAACAAAATAATTATATTATTAAATGTAAACATAATCGCGTAATAGTTTGTTATAGTATTCTTGTCAGAAATTTTTAAAATGTGAATTTTACAGAAAAATTGAAGCAACATTTACAATTACACGAGTTTTGATAATATACACTAATCCGGATATCAAATTCGTGTTAAATATTTCTATATTTTGATAATTTAATTTTTGACATTTTATGAAAACACTTAGAACACATATAAGTCTTATAATCTATTTATGTCTGAACAATAATGTTGTCGTCTAAGGGTACGCCCAAAACTAACGGTTAACAAATTTTGTTTGTACTTGTATGGGTACAGTCATTGTGTATGATAGCTGTGAACACAGAACCGCCTAGAAAGCGCTGTTCTCTTCCAATGAATTAAATCCATTTGGAGAGTCTGCTTGAGACACTTTACCCGTAATTCAGTTACTTTAAATGTTTTCGTCGTTCAACTGTTCTATATATAAACATAACATAAAGCTATAGCTTTATGTTATCTAATTTACTTTAATCTAAAATATGTAGTCTTAAGGCAAGTCTTAGTCCTTTATCGAAATAAAACACTATTTTTGTTTAAATATTGGTTGACACGTGATAATTTTTTATGAAATAAATTGTCGTCATATATTTATTGGAAATAAATTTATCAATAAACAAATTAATTTTGTTTATGTCACAATTATAATGACATACATGTTAATGGAAAATCCAAATTTTTTCTTAAAACTCATTTTCATAGTTTTTAAGTCAATTAATTCAATTATTAAATATCTAAATTACCACTTACTCTTATCTTTTTTAATAAATATGTTGAAAAAATTGTCATTGAAAATTTTATGGGGTTTCTGAATTAATTAATATGGTACATTTGATTTTTATGTTATAACCATTATCGATTTGAAGCTAGAGAAAAATGTTAGCAATGAAAACAATTTTTTAAATCTGTTGTGTAATTTAAAAATATATCTATATATTTTTTAATTGCCCAATAATATATACTTATTAATAAATATTCTGTAGAATATTTATTCAAAAGTTATTATGGACTAAACATTTTCTTATGAAAAATATACAATAAATTAACAGTTAAAATAGACATTCTTTATTTATAAATGGAAAAATAAATAAATTATTCAATATGTTCAAAAATTTAAGAATATAGTAGATATGATGTAATTATATTAATTTAAAGGGGTAAAGTGTTTATTTAGCAATTCAATATTTATCTCAAAACGGTTTTCAATTATCAATATGAAATAGACGAATTAGTTCAAATAACCTGTACACGAAGTGAATAATCATGAAAATTTAATTTGTGTTATTATAATGAGAGTTTGGAACTTTATGCATTTATAAAGTTTATTTTAATCATCCCGAGTACATTAATGACTAATAGATATTTGTGTTTGTTTTCCTTAATACTAAATAATGTGTAATAATTAGTAGTTTAGTAATGGGAGGCGTTGAGAATTACTGTACTTTTAGAAGATAAAAATGTCCCTGTGGTACTCTTTATACCAATTGAAAATTTTTATGGAACTGGGTATCTCAAAAGTGGACTATACAAATTATATAATAACATAAAGTCCTGAATTTTAGTTATTATGCAAACACACACACTTATGTATGTATAAAATAGCAGTGGCCAAAATTCTCACAAGATATATCTAGACTGATTTTCTATATACATACAAACATTTAATAGACATATAAGATAACTAAGTGTTTTGTAATGGAATAATTTTGGCTGTTGTACAAAAGTTTTAGACGTTGTATATTTCACTCAGTCTGTTAAAAATTAAAATGTTTTCTATAAAAGTAAAATACATGGCAACTAATGAGTTTTAAATTTCTTTTGGTTACGTATTTTAAATGTACTTACATGTGGATTATCATTATACCATTGGTATACGAATAAAAGTGTTTTATTGCTCAATAGAAATATTTCGGTAAAATAAAGAAAACTTAAGTATTTGGTATAAAATAGGACTCAAAATGTCCATTATGCCTCTAAAGAAATTACTTCCATATTAGAAGTTATTAAGGTTTAAATTACTAGACGTTAATGATAATTGAAAAAAAGTTAAATAATTACTTTCATTCGTTAAACATAAAATTCTTATTTTTGAAAGTAAAAAATGTATAATATTCAAACTAAAAATGTTTAAAAAAATTGATTAAAAAAAACCTTCAATATAATGTTAAAACAATATCTGCTAACTTGAGGCGATAATTTTGTTTCTTTTATTGTCATTCTATGAAATGTTTGTAATATAAACTTTATATCTATAAAGTTGAGTTATATTTTATTTAAAACGATGGAATTTTTTGTTATCGATGCTTGTTAACTTATACAATTTTGTTTTATTACTTTTAATGGTTCAGCGAATTTCAAAATTTTCTTTATAATGTTTTTATTGATTTAGGAGAAAGTAACCGTTTATGTCATAAATTAGGAAGTAATTGATATTAAAATGATATGAAACTGCTTAGCTATTATTGTGCATGTTTGCACTTTGTATAAAAGGTGAAGTGACCCGGTTATAATTGAGAACATACTTGTTAGCTAATTGGTGTATATAAAACATTTATTTTGAAAACTCGAGTTGGGAGATACCAATGTTGTCCTCTATTTGAATATTTAGCTATATTTAATTGCAGTTGAAAAGTGAGAACCTGTATGTCTATTTCGTTCACTGAGTAATTATCTATTGTTCATATAACCCTTTAAACAATGGCAGACAATTTTCAATCGTAGTTAGTTGTCAAAACAATTTTGAAACTATATTATTTAACTTTTATTAATAATTTGATATTATTTAAAGTGATAAAAATTGTGGTTACTATTGTAGTCAAACAATGTTTAGAAATGCGTATGATATCATTATAAATGTTTAATGCGTTTACTACAGATAGTGCTGTAAATTCGGAATTTCTCTGATCGCCGGAATATACTATAAAAAATAGAAATTTAATAGAACAAACGTATACAATTATTTTTATGATAATTTAAAAAATAGTTTATTGTTAGTAATATTACCGTCAGTCATATTTGAGTCCGAATTTATGTGCATATAAAA